ACAGTAAAGTTAAACAAAAACCCTAACCTGCAGTAGATTACAGTGTATTAAATATTAGTGTATTCGTTATTAAATCCTAAGAAGAAGGGGTGATTAATTTTTGAAGCGGTGTTTTCTTTCCATTTTGTTTTCTTCGAAATACGCTTTTCGAATCGTCATCAAAAGTACATAGTCTCAAAGTTTTAAAAGAGCTAATACGCTTCTTTAAATTAAAAATTTGAACGCGACGAGCAAGTAGGCAAGTATAAGGTACTTCAAAGAGTTTTTCTGACAATTTATCCAGTAGTTTATAGTTAATACATCATTATACAGGTTAATGTAAGTATCTACTCGGAATTCGTTTAAAAAGAATTCATTAGGGTGTTTTTTTTTTTTTTTAGATTCCGAGCGTAGAGAGGGAGCTAATGGTTTTACAGTGTTGTTTATTTCTTTCTTTCTTTCTTTTATTTTTATTCTTGTCTGCGGACACGTTTTTTCCTAGTAAACTTTCTCCGATTTGTACGTGTAGCAACTTTTCTGAAAGCTCAAAGCTCAAGTTGTCTAGATAGTACTTTAAGGAGGTCATTTTCGACGCCATTATTTAAACAAAAGCACTTAAGCGGGAAAAAAACGTGGGAAAACGTACAATTTCACGATTTCATTATTGTTTCATTGTTACATTATTTTATAAAAACACGGACGACCTCTTCAACCAGAAAAAATGATTTAATCGAAGAATCATAAACACCTTTTTAAGCCACTTTTTAGCTTTTAAGGAATTTTAATTTTTTGGAGACTTTTTATGTAGTTCGGTTATAAATATACGTAGAAACTTGAAACTTGATAATAATACTTATATTGGACTTGACGTGGTAAAATTTCCAAAATCATCGGACGACAATTTTTTTTTTTAATAAACGTTTTGAAATTAAATTTAAACGAAAATCGTAAAAAAAAAAAATCACGGCACTTCAAATTATAAATTACCGAACTGCGCTCGGAATAATCCTTCGTTAAGCAATGGTTTATTGTTACTTACAGATTTACATGAAATAACCTTATGTATCCTACATTCCCAATTTCTCACCTACAACAGTGGCCGCTCCCGTCCCCAGTATCATCTCTTTTTTTAAATTTAACATTGTCCAGTATAACCAACAACACAACGCTCCAAGTAATAATATTTACTGTATTCGAGCACGGACTATTTACACAATTGAACGTATCTGAATACGGTTCTTTTATTTGGTCCCCTTATCAGTTAGGCAATTAATCTAAATTAGGAAAAGTGCAAGAAAAATTGTTGCGCTTCCGATCATTTAAATGCTCAATTCCTAGAGAACCTCACACTTATTACAGTCCTTTTCAAGCCGTTTATCCTTCTTGTGTGCACCTGCAACTCGTAAAAGACATTCTAAAAACCTATTCTGTTTAAGCCTACAAGTACCTAACCACCGTAATAGAATTGTGCGAACCGTTAATAACCTAGGAACTGGTTTGTTCAACTCACCAAACCTACACTCTGTCATCTATTGTATTATAATTATCCGATTCGTAGCTCATAATTGTGAGTATCTTATTGTAACTTTAGTATTGTTATCACATATTTGTATTTATTATTACTGTATATTATTTGATGTTATTATTTATTATCATTCTACTATATTTCATCACCTCGTGTCTATCTAATTTATGGTAATATTTTTATTGTTTGGTTATTAAACGAACCTTGCCCGTTTAATACCAGATAAATCAATAAAATAAACGGTACATTATTATGTACAGAGTGATCGACGCAACTCAACACACTGATTATCTCGGAAAGTATTAATATTTTCGAAATATTTCTATTGGTTTACTAACCTGCAAGCAGGCGTACAATATTATACATAATTGTTGATTTTCGCCATATCTGGGAGCACATAGTGGAGCACAATTCAAACGCCGCCGCCACACAAACATTTAAAACACCATGCGCGTAATCTCGAAGGTGTAAGGGACATTTTTGCGGGTGTTCAATAACTATCGCTTTGCACCCATTAAATTGTCTGTGTTTCAAATCTATATAAACAATGCCAAACTATTATATATTTATCATAAAGTAACGACAACGACGATAATAGACGATAATTATCACGCCCTCGTGATACTCATCGATTTAAAGTTGTTCGATTTTACGTACGCGATAGTACACCATTTTATTTCTCAAAACTATGTTTTCCCTACAGTGAGAAACACTCGGAGATCAAATGTACAATAGATAGAGCTATGAGTAGTGAAACAAAACGTATCGCCAACATATCAACAAGCCCGTATACATGTGTGAGGGGGGGGGGGAGCGAAAAATTCTCGAAACGTAGAATCGGACTGGAAATTAAGAGCAGCTGACAGGAAGGCTTGGGTGTGTGACGGAACCCTATACGTCCTGCGGTGACGCCGACAAGAAGAAAAACAAGACGACAGGGATTACGTGTGGCGAACAAAACCGTTGTCGATTGTCACTTTAAGTCATATTTTCTAGAATATGAAAATAATACGCGTCCCCGTTTGAGAACTGCAATGCTAAATGCATATTATAATAATACTGCGGTTCGTGTAATAATAAATATAACATTGTGACGTTATCTGTACGGAGATTGAGAATATTAAATCCGAAATGTACCGTACCGTGTATACGAACCCTTTTGAATCGTCAAATACTGAAAACACTGCTATATGATAATAATATATATTACAAGTACTCGTGTTATTATGGTATTTTTATTGCGTGTTCCTTGTACGGATTCTGTGATTCGATATTAAAAAAACGAAATAATAAAAAAAAAATACTCGGTTCGAGAGTAAATGTTTTGCGGATATTACAGGCCACGGACGAACATAATAATATATTATAGTTTAGCCCGGCGAACGGATTTATCCGTTAAAGGAGACAAACGCCCAAGTACCTATTACGATAAAAAAGGATTTTCATTTCCCTCGCCCGTCCCCCCCCCGTTTTTATTACGTTTTATATAAATGTTCGTATACCGAACAATAACGACCGTTATCAGGAACACAAATTGATAATTATTTATGTGTTTTATTGCAAAAAAAAGCTGATATACTATCAGAGCCGGACTGGCCCACTACACACTGTGCTACAAGCTACAGAACAGTAAGCCGCGGCTAAGAAAACAAAAAATTTCACTCAGAACACAGAATAGTCAACAGATTGAATCTGCATATATCTTAAGTACCTACCTTCGGCAATTATATTTGTAAATAATTAATAAATGCACGATAATAGAAAATCCTATAAACAACTAAAAAAATTATATTACTTATATACTGACATCTGAATAAACAGTCTGAATTAACAGAAAAATTGCCGTGCGTAATGCATAGATATAATATATACTCACGGAGCTGTCCTGGGGCCTGGGTCAAATTAATTCTGGGCAGGCACGTAACCAATGGGTGGCCTGGGGTGGCCCGGCCACTCAAAATATTTACAGGCCACCCAAATGGCCACCCCGTTATATTTTTGAGTATAAATTATTATTTTTACATTCTTCGCTACACTCAGAATGTATTGGTTTTACAAAGATACATATTTTTTTTTTGTTTTGTTTTCTTGTTATGACATTTTTTCTACCATAAAGCTTACTCCGATATATATAATGTTGGACCTTTTTCCGAAAGGGAATTTTCTCGGGGTGGTACTTTAAAGCGGTTATTTTTTAATTTTCTCAGAAGTTTTCTCATCAAATGTAAAAAAACCGAAAAAAAAACTGAGAAAAAACGAGAAAATGTACAAAATATGGGTTTAGTTGAAAAATATTTCGGCCTCTTTTTTTTTTTCCTACGGGCTACTTTGCTACCAGCAATTTTGCTCGGATCTACAACGATAGCACTTTTTCTAAAAGAAAATCTGACCGAGAAAAAACTTCAAGGAATTAAACCGGGGTAAAACATGGGAAAACCGAAAAAAACGTAGAAAAAACGGGAAAATCGGTACAATATTAAACAAATATTAGAAAATATAAAATGCCTATTTAATTATTTTACCATAATATAATATATATATATTGTTGGCAAAGCGTCACTATCAACTGAAATCACTCTCAGAATCGTTTTTCCGTTAGAAATGGTTTGCCGTTGCTTACAGATACGGATTAATTTCCCCTCTAAACCCCATATTCCAAACTTCTCACCAACAACAGTAGTAGCTACGCTCATCGCGCTCAGTATGCGCGTCATCTTCCTTTACGTTTTCGGTTTTTTCCCACTCGTTATGAAAACCCCCGGGAAAATCGAAAAACGACCGCCGCAGAGTGTCATCCCGGTGAAATTTACTCATAGAAACATTGCCACGCTCAAAAATCACGGCGAAATCCTCGGTAGAAAAGTCGTTCAAATGAAGCGCGACAATAAACAGGCGTCGTTGTACAACTAACAACACATCCGTGTCGCTTCGCTCAGCGTCTAAAATTAAACAAACGATGCAACGGCGGCGAAAGCCGACGGCGTTGCCGTTGATGACGTTTCGACCATTGGTACATTATTAACGCACAGCTCGACTTTGAGTTTGACATTAGAGAATAATTGACGGTTCGTCTCTCTGGTAAGCGCAAAGAAGACGACGTCGCCGCGAAGTTTCGCTCTGCTCGAACTCGACATCGCGCCCATACGGGTGTTTATTGTCACATGATGTACACGGCGTAATGATAATAGAATATAATATTGTAATCGCTTCGTAATAAAATCGTACGGATAGTTGAAAATAAGTTTTACAAACAGACAATTGCGTGTGTACGAGCGGCGGCGGTTCGGTATGCGCGTGGGTTGTAATGTTTATGTTAACGGCCGGCGCGGCCGCGGGGGACGGATAATGGAATTCTCTGGTTACGGGTATAATGGGATCCTGGGTGTGGGGGGGGGAGTTATTCTAAAGCAGACCGTTCCGAGAAGAAAACCGGAAGCGTCCAGACGCCCGTTCGCGAGACGTTTGTCTCCTGCGCGGTTCTGTTCCCCGAGAAACGTCACCCGGTCTCCACGAGGTGCGGGAACCAACTGAACTGCATGCCTCCCGTCGTGGACTTGATCACGGCGTACGCTTCGGCCGCGCCGCGTTTACCGCCGCGTAAGTCCTCGCTCAGCGTCGAGCTCTGGCCGACCCATTTGATCACGACGCGGGTCCGGGGCCGTCTCTCCGGGTCGATTGACTTGACCCGGTAACGGTATTTATGCGTGGATGCCGCGGCCGACCCGAACGTCTGCGATCCCGCGGGGTCAGCCGTTGACGGCTTACTGTTCTCCACCACGAACACGCCGGTCCGAACGTAGCCCCGGCGGACACGGGTCAACACCACCCAGAACATACCGGCCGGCGACCGGACCAAGTACGTCCGGCGCTGTTTCGTCGCGATCAGGTTTGTGTTATCCACGGACAGGCTGTTCTTCTGCACGATGACGGTTGACGTTGTGCAGTTGTACGCCGACAACCGAGACGAATACAAAAACAAAAGAAAACACGTTGTCGTTAACATTGATTACTATCATATCGAATTGCGACGCGTGTGATGTCCGTAAAAATATAAAACAAATTATACCAATACATAATTCGGCCGAATTCGCTAGATTTCGCTAGGGTATTTTTGCATTTTGCTAGGACCTCTGTCGCTTTTAGGAAAGGTAAATTTTTAGCGGAAACCGGTAACTCTCATTTAGAATAACTCGGGAGACACAGCGCGGAGGTTGGCTAGAAGTAGCCCAACGATTTGGGTTCTTCGTTACTTTATACTCCTATAATATCATTGTTAACATTTTTTTTTTCTCCATAAAATTCACAGTAATATACATTTTTCTGATTTTTTTTTTTGTGTGATTTTAATAGTTAATTTTCGCATTACGTCTAGCACTATAGTTGGTATAAGATATGCATGTACCGAATTGCCAGTATCGGCGGCGTTATAATCAATAAATTATGTAAATATTATCACGGACCAAATTCGAGTACCGACTTAATTTGGTGATGACAGAATTAATTATTATAATATATAAAATGTTACAATAATATTAAATAAATATGTATGTAATATACATTTACATATAAATGTATGTATTTTCAAGTTACGCCCCACTCCACCGGAAAAATTCGATCAGATACGCACATAGCTTTCTACACTTACCTAAGCTCCTGTGCCTAGACATAAAATACTACGTTTTTGCTACAGTGGAAAACAAAAATTTTTGACAATAACGTCTAAGCGATGATGAGGTGCTTGCCCCGAGCATTGATTTTTTTTTCTATACAATTATTAGGTGATAGGCGACATTTTGCTACAGTCTTAATCTGCATTAGGACTGAAAAAAAATGTGTGTTATATAATAACTGAACGTGTAAACCTAAATAACTTGCTCAGTTCATTTGCACAGACGTACTGCTCAAAAATGCCACAAATCGCTATTAGTTTGCGCAGTTTAACTGAGCGTGTAAACCTACCTTAGAGAATTAAAAAACTATTAATCGAATATGAATGTACGAATACAATTTTTCTCCCGACAATTTTTCATCGATTTACAATGATCTAATAAATTGGAAAAACCGGGAGAAAAAACGAAATGTATGTATTTTAGTTGAAAAATATTACAGCATTATTTTTTCCATTATTTTTATGGACAACATTTCTACCAGCAATTTCACTCCGATTTAAAATGATAACACTTTTCTTGAAAAGAAATTTGACGGAGTTGTACTTTAGGGAAATAATTTTCTCATTTTCTAAATAAATGGGAAAAACATGAAAAAACCGCGAAATATTTAATAAATTCAGGAAAAATAGGCAAAATATTAAACAAACATTTTAAAAGAAAATATAATGCATGTTTAATATTTTACCATATTTTGTTTTGTTTACCACATGCAATTGTTGACAAAGCAATACTATCAACCGAACTCCGCTCAGAATTGTGTTTTTTGTAAGCAATGGTAAATCTTTGCTTACAGATATACATTAAATTACCTAAAACAGTAACTGCATCTAAATTAATATTATTAACGTTTGGATACATTTTTTTTCTAGGGCCGATTTCTCGGCTGGGGTCGGCAACGAAACGAGAATTTTATTTAGGACAACACAGTACCAGGAGAACATGAGGGGTGCGGTGTGCGCTGCGGCGGCGACGGTTGCCGCCAACGACTCGTCGCGGGAATATTGTTCGACCGCCAACCGCTGCGACTGGTCGAGGCAATATCCGTTCGAACGCAGACCGCCACGAATAATCGCGGCAATAACGTCCGAGTCCTGCGCTCCTGGCACATGGAGGTGTCTTTTGTACCTCGTACGAATACGTTGAGGATGCGTACACATTATATCCGTATCATATTCGTATACGAACACAATTTGGTATTTTTTAGTTCCCTTAAATGATACAGTTTAGAATACTCTAAGAAATTAACGTCAATTATAAATCGGTTAAGTTGATTTATAATATGTGATCAAACAAAATATATAATAAATAATTTGCGTTTAGAATAATCCATAAGTATTTGAATAATGGTTTATACTACAATGCATTTTTCATAATGGTCTGTTTTTGGTCGTCGGTCGCAGAACCAAAATTCATTTTTTTTTCTCCAATAACATTTTGTTTTTTTTAAAAAACAAATAAGAACAAGTTGATCAATAGTCGCGCACATCACAAGAATAACACCGCGTGTGCGGGAAATATGTAACCATTACAGTAGAATATTAACTATCAATACGTTTTAAACTTGTTATATTTTAACCATAAATAGAGCGTCTGTTTTATCGTGAGTGATTATATTGTACAATCAATCTCGATAGTATAATCACACAAATTATGAATCCCATATGAAATTATAATTTCAAAATTCAACTATAGTAATGAATATGTATATATGTATATATTTTCACTATCGCTTTCGGTTAAAAATTTAAATTTATAATTTAACAATTCGACGTAGGTACCTATTTCTTTTATTTATTATGTACAATAAAAAATAATATATTTAGAAATCTAAATGTAAACAATACAATATTATTTGTATATTTTAATATGATATTAATGTTCCTATAATAAGTTAGAATATGTGGGAATCTTCGTTTATAATACGGACGACTACGTTATACGATATACAATGTAGCCACCGTATGCTACGCGTTATCTTAAAATGTCTCTTTGGTTCGAAATTCAAATACGGATAATCGTCATCATAATAATATAATGACGTCATACGTACGAATAATAAATAATAATAACGTTGGGAAACATTTTTTTTTCTAGGGCCGATATCTCGGCTGGGGTCGGCATCGAAACGGGAATTTTATTTATGACCAGGAGAACATGAGCTTCGGTGTGCGCTGCGGCGGCGACGGCTACCGTCGACGGCCCGACGCGGCAACAACGTCCACGTCCTGCGCTCCTGGTACGTCGACGTCTCCCTCGGACCGCGTACGAATACATTGAAGATGCGTCGTACACATTATATTCGTATTATATTCGACTACTCGTGCGGGAATTATGTTCTGCCGCCGATACCTGCCACCCGTAGCGCCAATATCGTTCAGGCGCGGACCGTCACGAATAACCGCGGCAACAATTTCCGAGTCCCCTGCGCTCCTGGTACGCCGACGTCTCTCTTGTACCTCGTACGAATGCGTCCGTGCACATTATTCATAAGGCGCGTGCGCAAAATTGGATTCGTATGGCACGAATATGGCACCGGTCGGTCGTACGACCCGAGCGCGCACACCGAACGCGTTTTTGTCCGTAATAATAGTCAGCGTTCCGGCGATACACGAACACGATTCGGTATTTTGTGTAACCGTGAATTTGTACGTATAGTATTTATATTATATTATGATAATGACGTACATCCGTATTTGAATTTCGGACTTGAACGAACAACATTTAAAAAAAAAAAAACGTGCATCATCGTCTACATCGGTATATATGATCGTCATTGTACATATCGTAAACGAAGAACACCGCATATTCTAACCCTACTACGTGAACACTAATANTTAAAGATATCGAATTGTTTACATTTAAATTTCTAAATATATTATCAATAATACATTATGTCAAGAACATAAATAATTAGGTACCTACCACCCACGTCGAATCGTTAAACAACGTATTTAAATTTTTATCCGAAAGCGACAGGGAAAATTAACGCATTTAATAACCGTTTATAGTAGAATTCTGAATCCTAAATTTCGTATAGGATTCAAAAATAGTATAATTATTATCATATTATTACGATTGGTTACTGTATAACAGCTGTGACATGATCAAACGCGAGATTCCGTTTGTGGTTTAGTGTAACGGTATAACATAATATATTAAATAAGTGTTCCTACCGTAAATTAAGGGGGGGGGCACGATGAGAGGTGACGTGTGCGTAGCTAGAGGTGTATTTAAAAATATTTTCNGTATAGAATCAGAATTAAAATGCGGATAAAGCCGCAAATTCGTATTATTATGACGTCGTCATAAAATCCAAACAATAATAATAATAACAATAATTGTTAATAATAATGATCAACGTTTCGGAACTTTTCTAGGGCGGATTTCTCGGCTGGGGTCGGCAGAATTTTATCAAGGACCACACAGTACCAGGAGAACATGAGGTTCTGTGTGCGCTGCGTCGGCGACGGTTGCCGCCAAAGACTCGCCGCGGGAATATTGTTCGGCCGCCGACCGCTACGAATAGCCGTGGCAATAACGTCAGAGTCCTGCGCTCCTGGCACATGGAGGTCTCTTTCGTACCTCCAACGAATACGTTGAAGATGCTTCGTACACATAATTACAAATATGTAATTTTTTGCAATTATCCATAAGTATTTTTTTAAAGTATTTGAATAGTACTAATAGTTTATACTACAATGCATTTCCAGTAACGCTTTCAGATAAAAATTTAAATATATTATTTAACAATTCGACGTAGGTACCTATTTATTTTATTATTATGTACTAACAGTGGTGTATTGGGGCGTATACGGGGGTATACGGCGTATACCCACTTCTCTTGTTTTTTTTTTAGTGTATACTTTCTAAATGTACGATAAGTATACGACCGTATACCGTATGGTCCCGTTTACCTAGTAGAATGTTTAGTGACAACAAAATATTTTAAAGGCTGTAATATAATTTTTAATTTTTAATTCTCAGATAGGACATGGTAGATATCAGGCGATAAACAAAAAAATATTTTAAGTACCAATGACTTAACCAAAAATAAAAATACCCAATATCGGATGTCTATTTTTAACTTGGTATGTTCGTACCAATGTATTTTGTGTAATAATAAATGTGTGTGTGTGAGTTGGTAAGATTATAATACACATTATATTACTCATTACTATACCTACATTTATATCTTTCATTTCTTGACCATTTATTGATAACAATGTCTATAAAAATAATTTATAATGTTTGAATTTTAGAATAATAATAATTGTAATCGTCTAAAATCACTCTCAATTCTTATTATGACGTGTTCTTTAATAAAAGTGATAAACCAGTGATGATATATTATAATATTATTTTCACTTTTATTTTAATTACAATTTATTAGCAGAGCCAAGTTTTATTATTATTAAACACTAGAAGCTACTACTGAGAAATATTTACGAATCGTAATTCGTAATCGTTGTTTATAATTGGAGTACCAAACTCCAAGGTAAGTGTTTATATTTTTAATGCAAACATTATGACATAGGTATTTTATATTATTATTATGTTAATATCTAACTAATTATAATTTATTAACTTGTAGCATAACAATAGCATTAAACAAAATCGTATAGTAGGTATTATGTTTTAATTTTAATATTTCACGGAAATAATGCATACGGTAGTTGCAGTTTTTATCACTTAAATTATATATCTAAAAATTGCTATAACAATTATTATTGGTATAAACTAAACATTTTTTATGCATGATTAATTGTATAAGCAAAATGAATTCAATTTTTTTTTGTTTTATTCTCATTTGTAATTTATTTGTATATTTTCTAGGATTCCCAGAATATTATTGACAATTTTAACCATGTGTCTACAGAAAAAAATGTTGTAACATCCAAGTCAGATTCACAACCCCCGAAAAAGAAAAAATGGTAGGTACCTAAATTGCTTTTATTTAGTTTTGTTAAATTAATAAAAAAAATTATTTCATTAGGTAATTGAATCTCAAATAAAAAAAAGAAGAATGCATCTTTTGAAGGGGAAGTGCCATCAAGTGATTCTGATAACAATCCAGAAGTGCCTCAGGTAAAATAATATTTTAACCACCTAACAGATATAACTATACTTTATATATTTATGCCATTGTTATGATAAGCTAGCCATCTTACCTTGCTCTAGAAAACCATAATATTTAAATAAGAAATAACTTAAATAATTAACTTCTAAAATACCAAGATATTAACCAGGAAAATAAATAGCACATAATACATTGAAACAAATATGAACAATTTTAAATTTAAGTTATGATTTCCCTTTTGAAATTAAAAATGAGGTTCTATTATTATTTGTTTATTTTTATAATAGCTTAATAACTACCTAGTCATTTACTATTTAAAGAAATAATACAATCAATATTATGAGAATTATTTCAAAATATCAATCAAAGTTAATGTAATCCAAAAGGTCAAATAAAAACATTTTTCATTATTTTACATATTTTTACAGATAAATATAAAACAAATGACCAATAATAATTCAGAAATTGTTAAAATGTTATGGCCTTCAGATTGGTCTTCTGAACAATGGGCAGAAAAAAAAACAAAAATATACTTGGCTTCATTGTCAGAATGGACTTTTGGGGTGTACAACTTGTTTTGAAGTTAGTAACTTAAAAACATTTAATAATCAGGATTTTGAAATTTCCAAAGAATGGTAATCGTGTCAAATTAATGGGAGTAATAGCATTAAAAAAGAAACAAGACTTGCTAGCCTTCAGAATAAAATAAAAAGACATACTAGTACCAAGGCGCATAAGACAGCTTTTTATTTCATAATGCAGAAAGAAGAAAAAGTTCTTTCTAAACAATTTGAAAAATTGACATTCGTTAAAAATCAATCGACTACATTAATTTTTCATACTGCATATTATATTGCTAAATTTAACAGACCATTTAATGACCATTTTAATCTTTTGCAACTACAACAACTGAATGGGATTAAAATTGGTACTACACTTCATTCAAGGTTTTCTTCAACTAATATTGTTGACCATATATCTTTTAAAATAAAACAGAAAATTGTTGCTAATATTATTGAGACTGGGAGCCAAATTATCAGTTTTAATTGATGAATCTACTACCGTTAGTGCAGTTTGTGGTATGGTTGTTTTTATTTCAAGCTTCTATTTCTTGTAATGATCCTATTTTTATTTTCTTAGACCTTGTTGAGTTTGTTAGTCAAACAGCTGAAAACATTTTGAATCAACTTATTAAATGTTTAAAAGAGTCTGGTTTTAATGATGATTACTTAATAAATAACTGGNTAATGCATTACCAAAGAATCAAAATGAACTAAAAAATATCTGTAACAAATTAGATACAATTTTTTTAAAGGTGGGACGTGTATCACTGGGTGGCTAGTAGCTTAAGAGCAGTTAAAGTTATATGGAAAATGTTTGAAGCTTTATGTAACCATTTTTCAAGTGCATCATTTGACACAAATAGGAATGGTAAAACAAGAGCCAAATACATTGGACTAAGAAAAAGGCTAGTTAGTCCTGAATTTCCATTAGATTTTGGTTTAATGTGTGATTGTCTTAATGAATTATCCGTCTTGTCAAACATACTCCAGAAGCGTTCTGTAACTTTAATTCAAGCTCAGCAACATATAAATAGGAGTGTAAGAGTTTTCATTTCATTTAAAGATTTAAATGGTGATTACATGACTAAAGAAACAGTCACATTAAATGACATGTCTTTTAAAAATATTAAATTAGAAAAAAAACTCTTAATTAGTTAACATTAATCATGGTCAATTGCTTACTAGTCTTGTTGATAACTTAAAAGCTAGGCTCTTGGATAAAGAACAAGATATTTCAATACTTCAGGATATACAAATCATGGATACAACATACGTTATGGCGAATATAAAATCAACCAATTATGCAAACGTTTTCAACTTAATAAGAATGATGCTATTAATGGCTTAAGACAAAAAATTGAAGATCAAAATATTTCATTTAAAAATGTTATGCCTGAATTGTATAACTTTATAAACCTTTCCTTGCTCAACAGCAGAGTGTGGACAGGGGTTTAGTTTGATGAACAACATATGCATAAAGTTACGTTCTAGGCTAACTATTCAACATATGGCCAGTCTTATGTTTATAAATATCAATGGACCCCCACTAGAACAATTGGAGCCAGAAACTTATGTCAGTAGTTGGTTGCTAAATCATAAAACTGCTGATGACACTAGAACGAAAAAAAATGTCATTAAGGAACCAAAAACCGCAGAAGAAAAAAAAAGTTTATGGAAAATACTATAAAGCTTAGATTATAATAATTGATAATTAATAATTATTAAAATAACTATAGTATTATGTATTCCTATTATATTTGTTTGATTAGTAGTTTATTGTTTATAATAAAGGAAACTTTTTACTCGTATTAGTATCTAGTTTTCTTCTTCAGCTTGTATAGGACAGTAAGGCCATCGCTGCACTTCACAGCCTTCTCTATTCCTCTCTATCATTTGCTAATACCTCTGGGTTATCAACTTCAAGTACCCATGATAATATTAATATTAATTTAATATATTAAATATTTTATATTTATTTAATAAATGAGTAAATACTCTGAAATGTTTTATGATATTTAGAGAAAAATCAATTCAGATACAATATTGTATAGTGCCTTCAAAATATATTATTAACTAAATTGGTTATCAACAATATTTTATCAACCATAAATCAGTTAAATCATTTACAGGGTTTTACTACTACCTAGGCACTTTATATCACTCTATGTTTCTATCTCATTTTTCTGAATTATCAACAATAGATTATTTTCAAAAGTATTAAGTACTTATGTATGTAATAAAAAATGCTGCAAAAAAAATATATTTAAAAATGAAGTGAGAAAATTTATTTTTTGACCCAATGCTATCACTTATCACCTACTTACATGTAAAAGACTGTAGTACCCAATGCCCAAGTACCCAAGAAGGGATTACACAAATTTTTGTAGGTGGTGAAAAAAAAATAATGTAAATTTCTAAGTTTAGGTAATGGGAGAAAAATTCGTGGTGGGTTACCTCCCCGGGTATACCTTGCGTATACCCACGAATATTTTTAGCAATACATCACTGTGTACTAAACATAATAATATATTTAGAAATTTAAATGAAATTTAAATTTAAATACAATATTTTTTGTAAATTTTAATATAATATTAGTTTTCCTATAGTAAGTTAGAATATGTGGTATTCTTCTTTTATAATATGTACGTACGGACTACAATATTGTATACGTTATACAATATTACCATGTAGTTTAGATATGCTACACGTTTTCTTAAAATGTTCGTATAGGTTCAAAATTAAAATACGGAAAATCGTCATCATAATAATATAATGACGTCATACGTACGAATAATAAATAATAATATTAATAATAATAATAATAATAATTATTGACGTCGAAACGGGAATTTTAAATAGGACCAGGAGAACATGAAGTTCGGTGTGCGCTGCAGCGGCGACGGCTACCGTCGACGGCCCGACGCGACGACAACGTCCGGGAGGACGCGAGGACCATGCAGCTGCAGAGGGAGCCTGGCGCATGCTTATGCAATTTGCACGCAGCATGTGTTATAAGCATAATATAAGCTCTACTCGTCGCGGGGATAATGTTCTGCCGCCGATACCTGCCACTCGGAGCGGCAATATCGTTCAGACGCGGACCGCTACGAATGGTCGCGGCAACAACGTCCGAGTCCCCTGCGCTCCTGGTACGCCGACGTCTCCCTCGGACCGCGTACGAATACGTTAAACGTGCATCGTACACAATATTCGTATTATATTCGATGACTCGTCGCGGGGATAATGTTCTGCCGCCGATATCTGCCACTC